GTTGCCAGGATTTGCCGTAGGCGTTTCCTTTTCTAGGAGTGAACCTTAAGATACCCTGAAAATTTGAAGTCTCTAGCACATCTCCTTCTAGTGGAACAGACAGACAGACAGACAGACAGACACACAGACACACAGACAGACAGACACGAGGTCGTTTGCATAAGCCCGCTGGATAGCTTTTTCAAAGCAGAAGGGCGGGCTAAAAATGGCTGGAAAAAATACTTCGACGATAACTACGTGCAAGAGTGTCAACTGCAGCGAGTTGCGGCGAAATCTCGGTACGCAAACAATGAAAACGCAAACCAATTTTTTTTAACAGAACGTTATTGAGGTCGTGAAGGCACCTCAGCGGCTCAAGTACCGGACTCAAGTGACGCAGCGACTGCAGCGCTTTACCAGCTAATATGAAGAGATGAACGCCGAGGGCAGAAGCGTGGACTTCCTCCTGGCTGGCGAGAAAAACTTGACTCTGTAGTGAGGCAATTTGTATAATGGTGGGCAAAATTGTAACTGGATCTGATGTGTAATTGGACTAAATGCAGTGGGTGGAATTGGTGGGCCAAAAAAAAGAGGGTGTATCATCGTTGGATGAAAAGCATTGGGTGAACCGTCGTAGATCCATCGAAATCGATTTGGATGGTCAAGAACAACATCCAAACCGAGCTGATCACGATTTGGTAGCAGTACAGCCTTCCTCGTAGTGTTTAGAGTACGAAAATGGCCAAAAATGCCATTTATTGTTGATGTGCGCACCTGGCAGGAATCGGACGAGGTGATTTTCGGTTTCCTCGAGAAAATTCGATTTAGAACAAGCAGGAAAATCCGTGGCATTTTCAATATGGGATTTTAAGACGAATATTTTGGGTGTCAAAATGCATTAAGATTGTCTGAATTGCAAAATATCTCCAGTTACCTAGCACTTAGGAATCAGACCAGACCATCGTCATGGTTCAACATGGTTCAACACCACCTGTTGCATTTTTGAGCCGCGTCTGGGTAACAGCTCGACAATGAACACATTGCTCTCTGAGTAGTCAGTTCCCCGCGCGCGCTGCCCAGCGCCCACGCCAAAAATAGTTTTCAATTATAAAATATAGTGCAGAAAGATTTCGCGCCAAAAACCGCATCAACTACGTCGCAACAACAAACAACAAAAGCTTATTCTTAACCATGGCTTAGTTGAACAGTTAACAAGAATTGTTAAGGTTTTTAAATGCCCCCCCCCCTTCATCCTTCACTCTTGAAAATTACACATGTAAACCATTCCACGTATCACCTTGGTTACTTTTTAACGAAAACTTCCAAAACTGCCCACGATAAGTTCTGCAGCTCCGAAGTAAGAGAAATACACTTGTTTTGACCAGGCTGTACTCAAAACCAAGCGGCCATAGCTTCGTTCTTGGGTTGGTAGAGGGTACTGTTGAGTTACTGTGGCAGCTATTTGGTCTTAAATTGTCCATACGTACTTTTGCTAGACAGATCAATCTGTAGGCCGTCAGCACCGACGTACGACATCTTTCCAGAAGTAGGATCTATCTGTAATTTGAGCAGTGGTTGCTGAGCCAGAGTGTATCCAATAAGATGAGCTGCGTGTTGCTCTGGCTGAAAGGGCTGTGCTACGTTGTCGTTGGAGATCGAACTCTGTAAATGCAATGGTCTTGTAAGTAAAATTCACTAAATAAACCGTTCCGGCTGGATTATAGACCTTTTCGCCGACAACTTGGCAACAGCGCAAATCTCTGTTTCAAAATTGTAATTTGGGCAAATTTTCAAAACGCAAACGCATTGGTAAATTTTCCGAGGAAACCCCTGGTGATAAGTAATTTTGTTGACAGGCACTTAAAATGCGGTTTAAATATATCATGTATAAAATTCTTTTTGCGGTGTTGCCACGTTGTGGACGAAAAGGTCTATAGAAAAGGGTTATCTAGATTATATTGTGTTGTCCCACACAACAACGATACATTTTCAATATACCCTTACGTCTAGTGCACTGACGGAATAAGGCCGTCCCGTGACAGATTGTTGAAGTGCTGCTGGGACTGGCGCGGTTAGGCTGGACTGCGGGGTAAGTGCCGCGGAGTCCAGCAGCCTCACAGACTGTACGGTACCACTGTCCTGGGGTACGTTAAAAGTGTCCCGAACAAGAGTTGGAACCGAGCTGCTGGTCAAGGTAAAGGGCACGCCATCAGTCTGCAAAAGTAAACAAGAAATGTCGATAAGTGCTCGATTATCCAGTCCCACCTCTACTGCGGTAATGGTCTCCCTCCCTAAGCTTGACAGCTTACCCCTCCCCGCAGATTACTAGTGGATAGCGAGGTGCCTCCAGAATAAATTTTTCGCCTCCCCCCCTCAAAAGGTCGCTACTGACCAGTTGTGGCTTCTCTTTCCACTTTGGGTAATTCTTAAAGGCCAAATTTGGAGACCGCAAAATAAGCTTTCAAACAATGTGTTCAGAATTTTTCCAGCGCGTGAGAGAGCGCGCCCAGCGCGCCTGTCCAAGCGAAGAGAAGGCTGCATCCGGAAGCACTAGGCGACACTACGCACCACCGTTTGAAACAAACTCGGACCGCGGCAAATTTTAGGGAAATCCGGGACCAGACCCGGGTAGTCCGGGTTTACCCGCGGAACCGGGTACCCGGTTCCACGGTTCCATGCCGGGTACCCCGGGAACCCGGGTACCCGGATACCTGGGTACCCGGATACTACCCGCCGGAACCGGTTGTACCCGCACTGACGGGTATTACCCAGGCGGGCGGGTACCCGGGTAACCCGATTCTCCGGGTTAAATTGAGAGCCCTACTCCCTACTGTGTGTATTTCAATTTCCTCTCCCGAAATGGGTCCTAACTTACACAGTACCGAGCACAATAATACTCGTTCTTCCACCGAACGTAGTGATGTTTGGAGGGAGGAAGGTAAAGAACGAGTAAAAACCCACAGCGATCAATGTCTGGACTAGCCGTACACGTAAGTCATTTTGGCGTCTCCAAAGTGCATGCATCAGAAGGTGAGCGCCGACGCATATTGATTTAATTTGCCGGAAAACCAGACTAGAACGACAATGTATTAAAAAACTTCCTGATTCTACTCAAAAAACCCTTTCCAAAATGGTATGCAAGAGTGACACGAAAGCTGATGATGAATAAGTCTTTTATACAATTACCAAATTTTTGGCTGAGCTTGCGAAGCCTTTGCTGTGATGTGGGGTGCAGAGAACTCTTTGGTCGTCTGTCTGTCTGTCTGTCTGTCGATCTGTCTGTCTGTACTGGCCCACGTTTCTCTCAGACGGTAACTTCAATTGACTTCAAACTGCGCACGAAGCTTCAGTATAAGTCGAGACGTAATGAGTTTTGTTTAGAAGTTTGATATTAGATGTTTAAAATAAACGATCGATTAATTTGAATTCGTAGTTTGGTGGCAGTAGGTTGGCAGCACGGCGCTCGAGGGGAGGGGGAGCGCAAGTGGCTCCTCCGCTCACCTGAAGACTTTGATACCTTCTCAGCAGTTATTAAAATGTCAGATAGTCAAACCGAGTATTTTAGTTTTAGAGTTGCGGAACTTAGCCTGCGAAGTTTCGCGAGTGTCCGATGAGAAGGAACGAAAGTGATATTTGGAATGGTTTACGTGTTTACTTACGTAAGTT